GGAAGCCGGGCTCCTCTCTGGTGTAATTGACAATTTCGACATGACCTACCCGTGGCATTATGATAATCGGTGCAACGATGGGGTGCACTATGGCCGAGCTCCTTTGAAGATGAAGTGGAGAGATGGCGAAATTGGGCACTATTATTTTGTCGACCTTATGTTGGATCATATACTGCTGAATGCACTCTGCGCAGGAAGGCAAGCTTCTACAAACATGTGAAGCAAATTAAAAACCTTGCGGCGATTTAAGAACACGAGAATCCGAAATGCAGGCTCTTCCCGGAATGCCAGAATGCAGTTTTTTTCTGGTGCTTGAAGGCAAAGTATGAGGGTGATGCATTCATTGTTTTGATCCATATTGTTCATTAGATTGAGCTTTCGGCATTCTTTATTTGTTTTGTTTATATGTAGTCACATATGGTCTCAGACCACTTTTGTACATCATTACAGAATCTTGTATTTCAAGTAATTACGATTAAGCCTCCTAAGCCTAGTTATCATTTACTATCAGGAGATATTTGGAGCTTGTTTGGTATTTTTTTTTTTTATCTAATTTTTTTGGCTATCCAAATTTCTTTGGTTTAAGTGCTCTAAGTCGCAGTCATTAGTATTACGATCTAGTGGTATTCATCTTCACTTGTAAGTGAGAGCTCTTATGTTCGATTCTCGTTAAAGGTGAATTTGCATCACATTATTGCTAGCTCATAGTGAGACTAAGCTCACCTCATTTCCTTAGTATAAATAATATCGTTTGTTTAAAAAATGGGTGCTCTGAGTCACAAAATGTTAAATACTCCAGAGTATTGTAGATTTTTCGGTAAATTAAAAGCAAATTTCAAATTGAATAGCAAGCAACATCTTCATTTTTGCAATTGAAGTTTTGAATTTGGCATCTGTGGTTCTGATGACACTCCTTAGGATCCAAGAAGGAAAGGTATGAAATGATTAACTTTATGGGTAGAAGAGATAAAGACACTTTTAAATGTATCTCAGTTTGTCTGGCTTTTATTCCTCAATGCATCTTTTCCAATTTTCCAGTTTGTCTGGCTTTTACAAAGAGCCAATCAAGGCAACATATCACAAACTTGACTCAAAGAAGGACCAAGACTTGCGAGCCTGTGGGCAATACCGTTAGTCTAAGTAGCCTTAATGATCGTCGGGAGTAACGCCTTGATATCCTCCACAATTTGCCTAATTGCGGACAAATTAATAGATGGATCCTTTTGACGCTTTGGGTCTGAGCCTATTGGAGTTATGCAGTGCAAGGAATTTCATGGACCATGCCCTGACACTTCATTGAAATCTAAAACAAAGATGGAATATGTAAATCCTTTTACATTCTGGTGTATGACATGCACATTAGTAAATGAAGGGTTGGATGTACAATTAAAGATTCAACAACTAAGGCAAGTGGCTATTTACCACATTGATGGAAATGTATTGAATTCTTGCATGACGACGTGAGTTCGAACCCCGTTGTTGGCTAATCTAACATCTAATCTAACATAATCTACATTTTGACCCAAAAAAAAAAAAAAACAACTAAGGATCTAGTAGACAACGGTTTATACTAGAATATTCTTACAAAAAATACCTGACTTTTAAACATGTAAAGAGTTATTTATCCTTAAATACGAACTCCAATTTGATATTTGCGCAAAAAAGAAAGTTGTATCCTTTCAAGCAGTGAGTTGTTGCAAGTGGAACTGTAGAATGGTTAACTATCCAAATTTTAGGGTTGATTTCAAACTTGTACCCAAACTTTGCCATGTCAACAATGTCATATCCAAAGCTAGTCAGACAGTTAATCTTTCATTATATGAGGACAGATTAACTAACAGTTTGACTAATATGAATATAACTTTTTTTTTGGTCAAAAAAATATGAATATAACTACATCCGCTAGTTAGACAGTTAAGCTTTCATTATATGTGGACAGATTAACTAACAGTTTGACTAATATGAATATAACTTCTTTTTTTGGTCAAAAATATGAATATAACTATAAGTGTAGAATTTTCGTGAGTTTAGGTATTGTTACTCATCAAAATTGGTGAGGTCACACAATGACCAGAATGGTCGTGTGTTTGCCCTTGGTTGGCTTGGGGTTTGCGAATAATAAGAAATGGTCAACATAATTTAAGTAATTCACTCCTTAAAACTGGGCTACATTCACAGAGTCACTTGAATATATCGAATGCAAGATTACAAAACAGTGCTCTGCTTAACACAATATAATTTCTCTCTAAATTCATCTGACCTGTTCTAAGGAGCACCCATCCTCCTTATATAGCCCTCAGTGAGCCCTAAATCTCTGGGCTTGAGTCATCCACTGCCATTGCATTTAATGCGTCGAATACATTGATTTGACCTACTAGTTGTCCCTCCGCTCTTTGGGCGACCCATGTGTCAACGAAGTGATACTTGTGTAGGTCCACTTGCATGCTTTCTTAGGACAATACATATGCCAAGTGCCTTGTTCAGCTTGAGGGTTGGTGGAAACCCGCACCGGAGTACCCTATCAACATTAGGCTTTTGTCCTCCTGAATAGCCACCACGTGGCCTGAAGTTGATGTCTGACTAGGCATATGCCTATGTTCCTAGGACCTCGTGCCCTAAAGCTGTCAGTGCACCAACTTGTATCTCGGTGGTTGGCAAATACATTATGGGGAGGCGTTCAGCCTTGTTGATGATAAATACTCTGGATTGCTGTGTGGTGTTCGATAGCGCTAGGGTTTGTCCTTCCATCCTATTTGAGCCTGTGCTCCTTGGGCCGGTGTTTCTTTGGGCTGGTGTTCCTTTGGACATCTCGGGGTCATAAAGTACCTTGCATTAACAGGTATGAGCTTGTGAAGGTGTCAAAGTCCGACTACTAGTTTGAAATCAACCCTAAAAATCAAGGAGCCAAGTAGTGTTAAGTCTTTAAACCACACAAATTACGTCCTCATATCAATTTCTTTTCTGATTCTAATCAAGACGCAAATGAGATGAATGAATCAGATGAAAGTTGAATGGCAATAGTGATGAATACACGTCTTCAATAGGAATTAGGTAGCAGTCTGAATATTTGGTTCGTCAGTGGGCTGCATTAATTGGTTCTTGAAAGGTTTGATTGGTTTAGCTAGATTTGGTCAAGTTTTAATGCTAATCAAGATGGTGGCCTACTTAAACAGGCTTGAGCAGTTGCAGTATTCCGTCTGTCCTTTTTCAGTCGTATTTTGGGTGAATGATTCTCTCCCTTCCGAATCTCTCTTCCCTTCCCTCTTCTCCTATTTGAACGGTCACGGTTAAGCCACGTCAACATCTTTTATTGATTTTTTTATAGAGACAATAAGACAAAAAGCAATGTGTGAGATGAGGGGAGGGAAGGGGATATGAATAGGAGGGGGGGAGAATCCTACTCCCATATTTTGGTAACGAAAAATGAATTTCGCACACTTTTTTTCTTCTTCCACTAATAGCGAAGTCACATACAAGGTTACCGTGGGTTATAGCCTAGGTCAGCTTTCAAGGGAGAAAGAATTTCTACTTATAATTTTGCTTATGTTTAATGTTGGTCACTCAAATTAATCCTTGTAGCCCATCCAAACTAAACCTAGTTGCAGTAAACTCACATATAGTAAGTAAAGCAAGAGACACCACCGCGCCCAATCCCATTAGCAAAAAAAATTAAGTGGCACACTTCAATGAAAATTTTTGGCTATGCCCTTACCTTCTGTCCGCCTACGTTTATTGTTTTCTTTGCTTTGTCCAATCTGTGAACATGAGAAAAAAATAAGTGCGCAAAGACCACTTTCTTTGACGTCTGCATTTCTATGGTTTACCCCTAGTTCTACGAACCTAAACTCAAAGTAGAATAAAAAAAAAAAATAAAATAAAATAAAATAAAAAACATCTTTAAAAGGTTACATTTGTGCGAGTAATTTCCAAGTCATTTAGGAGAGATCAAGTTAGTAAGGGATGCATCGCAGAATGTTAGATAGAATTAGAAAACCTATATGAGCATTGCTAAGGCGTGTGAGAGATTTGCAAATCCCTACTTGAAAGAAGTTATATACAAATCTAATTCCTTTGATCTAACATTTTGTAATTTAATCCTAAATAACTTGAGAGCACCTTGAAATATTACATATTCAAACCTGCCCTCCAGTCCACTATTAGGTTTGGTGAACCCATTTTTGGAGCCCATTGATCCAATAAAAAGAAATTAAAGATTAATTGAGTCATGAAATGCATGAGAAACCCAAGGCAGGGCCCAGCTACATACAGATTGGGTTTGTCAAGTTTGAAACAACTTCCACCTGCGGCTTGTTAATATTAAGATTGTTTACAACGAAAAACATTTTATATTTTATTTATTTTAAATATTAAACACACAATATAATTATTTAGTTTTTGTTGTTGTAATTTATGGCTTGTTTGCTAATAAATTTAATTTCTTTTGACCTTTTTCTTTCTTTTTTTGCACTAAAATCAAAGAAAAATATACGAAACACATGAAAAATGAAGAAGAATGACTTGACCTGGTCGAAGAGAGGAGGAAATAAAATAAAGGAGATCACATGAAAATTAGAACTTGAAAGTGAAAACAATATAAACGTAGTTCATACTTTAGTGTTTAATTCTCATTTTATTTGTCATTCTAAAAATATTCTTTCACATTTCTTCCGACATCTTTCGTTTGCTCTTTTTCACAGTTTATGTTTTTCGCATACTTATACTTCAATTACGGCACGAAAAATAACAATTAAAAATAAAATAATCATAATTGTTACAAAATGATTCTTTCTCTTCTCCCTTTTTTCCTTTTTAGTACCTCTTTTCAATTATTTTGATACCTAAAGATGACTTCTTATAAACAAAATTTTTTTATTAAAATTGTAAAAGAAATACGAATAAAAAGATACGAAACGCGTTTGGAAAAAAGGAACCATTTTTAATTATTTCAAACGCAACAAAACACGAACCGCCGCCTTCATCACAACACCCCCCCCTCTCTCTCCAAATCAATCAAACTTACATAATTCACGAGATTTATAAATACCCCAAAAAATAACTGCAGAAAAACTCCACCAACACACAACAAATATTAATTAATTAATCAGTAATTTTTTTTCGACTTTCTGTGCCTTCCTAATCATCTGAAATTCCCAATTAATCTCGGAAGATTTCTCAATCAAATCAGGCAGAGAAGATAAGAACGCAAGGAAACAAAAACAGTGGGTACCCAGAAAAAAACGAGGCAGGAAGCTCACATCTTTTGGAGCCGAATCAAATCTGGCAAACCTTGGGGGATTGAGGCCTCGCTTGTCGTTGAAGCAACCTATTTACAACGACGACGACGAGGAGTGCAGGCCTTGGCGTCGGAGGTTTTCCATGGCGTTCACTTGGGGTTCCGCGCTCAGGATCGCTCTCCTCCTCCTCCTCCTGGCCGCCGTTGCCACTGCTTGTTTCACTCTTCCCGTGGAAAAGGTTCGGTTTTTCTCATCTGGGTCGGTTTTGTTTTCGTTTTTTGATAGCTCAATCTGTGAGTTTCTTCGTGGGGTTTTGTTTTCGGTTTAGTTTGCGATATAGGGTTTCAATAGTTGGATGATTTTCTTGTGTGTTTTGATTGATTTTGATTTGGGTATGCATCTTTTTGTTGATTGGATATTTGGATTGTCTCACATTTCGAATTGACGGAAATGTTGGATTTTGCTTCAGCTGTGTGTGGAATTGTGTTTTGATTAGAGCGATGCTTTGGTGCTGCTTGACATGTTTTAGACGTTGACAGTAAAGTTTGAAAGGAATTTAGGGAGGTGCCCAATTTGATGGGCTTGAAACTGAGATTGCATTTTCAAGCATGCCCAAATGGCAAACTCATTTCGATTTTTAGTTCATTTGTAACTAGATTTTGTAACACTTGAATATGGACACGGTTATCACTTTGTTGCTCATTAGTATAACAACAATCACACTTCTCTATTTAGTTTGAGACGTGACAATGCCGTAGGACTTCTCTTTCTGAATTGCATTAGTTATGTCAGCTGCAATAGGGAGGTTTTTTTTGGTGGATCACTATTTTTAGACATTTTGCTACCCCAAATTTTTGGCAACGATGCTGATACCAATGTCTCTTATGCGAACATGGTCATGTTTGTCGACTGATAAAGTAACTGCTACCTGCAGATTTTGAAGGACTTCTTATTATGGGTTGAGCAGGATCTTGGTCCCTGGGGTCCCCTTGTGCTGTAAGTAAATTGTAGGACTTTAATTTTGTTTCCACCAATCGTTCTTTTCTCTGGGTTTGGACCCTGACTAATAATGATGTGCATGTTTCATTTTGATTTTTGTCAACATTTTGATCGCAATATTAAAAGTTAGTCGCAATAACAGACTGCCTACAGGTTAATTTGTCCTCAAACATGTCTTAAAACAGTAACAGTCTGCCTCTCTATTTGCCTTTCAACTTATATTTCTTTGGGTAACATGCAGGGCTGTTGCATACATTCCACTAACAGTCTTGGCAGTACCAGCTTCAGTACTTACTGTAAGCATTTCTCCGATGCCTTAGCAATTGTTGTTACTGCACTGTAATTCTTGTAGACTAATGATCTAGCATGTGCTTTGCATAATTCCCTTATAGTTTTCTTTTACCGTTATATTCTGCTATATCAATTCATGGTCTAGGGCGAAACAGAGAGGAAAGATTTTCAAAAAAGAAATATTGTATTTTTATTTAATTGCAAGTTTGCACCCTTATGTGATTCCTCATTTTAATGGTTCAGCTCGGTGGTGGTTATCTTTTTGGGCTACCTGTTGGCTTTGTTGCTGATTCAATTGGAGCCACTTTAGGTGCAGGGGCTGCTTTTCTTCTAGGAAGAACTGTATGTTTCTATCCTAAACTCTTGTATTGGAATTTCCTGATTTTTTGAGTTTCTGAAAAAAGAGAAAATATTAATGCATTTATATGTGTGAGTATGCACGCACTCTTCACTGATATTCCGTTCTCATTTCTGTTCTCCCTCATTCATATGTAAATGCTTTGTTTGTATCTTGTCCTCTGCCCATTGGTCATAAATATAGTATCTATGCTTTCTTTATGTTATTCTTGAATACCCATGCAGATTGGGAGATCATTTGTTGTTTCAAGGTTGAAGGATTATCCTCAGTTCCGGGCAGTTGCAATTGCAATTCGGAGATCCGGATTTAAGGTTTGCTTGATTCATATTTCGCCTTCAAAATGTGAATTGACATTCTCAGTATGCAAATTTAATGGTGTTTCCACTTGCATCTTATTGATTAATTTACCCTAATTAAATTGTTTTACAAATAGTAAACAATAAAGCATGGAAGTAGTGGAATGTTTACAGTGTAAAATGAATATTATCTATAGTATAAAGTAAATAGATGCTGATATTATTTGTTTCATTCTTTCTACAGATTGTTTTGTTGCTTCGCCTTGTTCCCTTGCTCCCATTCAACATGCTAAATTACCTCCTTTCTGTGACTCCTGTTCCAATAGGACAATACATGCTGGCTTCCTGGATAGGGATGATGGTATTTTCTTCACCCTCATTGAGGCACTACTTTTATGTCATTCCATCCCAACATCTTGTTATTCTATTTTGTTTCTTTCTAATCTAAAGTGGCGAACACAATGCTTTTTGAAGATGCATAATGGAATATTGTCATGTTTATTTCTCTTTTTTGGATATATATGTTGGTCAAGATGGTTGTCTTAGTGTGTCTTCATAGGAATATAATTGTATGCTTGACTAGCAAGCTTTGTTCATGTTGTGAGGTTAGCAGTTACCCCCCTTCAGTTACTCCATGTTTTATACTTTGAGCTTTTAACATGCTGCCAATTCATTATGTGGTAAACATAACTTCCTTTGTTTTCTTATAAGTAACATTGTTACACTCAATTGCGAAAAAGGTTCAGCATCTTTAGACATCGGTCATATAAATTTTTAAGGTATTACCGGAGAGTTGCATTGTGTTAAAAGGTGGTCTGCATATTCATGAACTTGTCAATTTAATATGTGATGCATATGTACGTTTCCATCAGTTCCAAGCTGATGTCAGCCTTTTGTTTGGACAATATGTAACCTCTGACCGTAAAATGTATTGGGAAAATACATGTATGAGTTCTGATTAGGGAAACTGTGTACAAATGCATGTACCTGAATCTGCAGGACTTGGATTTGCTTGAGGGAAAAATACATGTACTGTTAGAATCTTTTTGGCTTTATGGTTCTAGGTCCTACCGAGCTGAGTAGATTATCAATTGTTTGATCAACTCGTATTTTTGTTGCAACATATTTTCAGAGGACAAGTTGCCCGAGCAGGCTTCAAATACTTTTAACACCTTTTGTTAAATAGATGTCTTTATCATAGATGGAGATTTTGATGTTAATGTGTTTGATATTGGTTCTGTTACAGCCAATAACATTTGCGCTAGTATATGTTGGAACAACTCTCAAGGATCTTTCTGATGTGACCCATGGATGGGGTGAATTTTCAAAGACCCGTTGGGTAAGAGTTATCTCATCTTTTATTTGTTCTGGACTGCTTGTAATTTTGTAAGTTGTTCAAATGATCTCACCTCAACATTGTTTATAGGGATTAAGTATCCGGGGCATGTTGTGAGCACGTGTCCTAAAATGGTGCATCATAACTGTTTATTATGGACATATAAGCTCTTAGAGAGCACAGTTTATGGATTTTCGAATGAGGTTTTGGGATATGTTTAAGTTTCTTTGTTGTCTTTATCTCTGACATATGTTCACTCTGTTATATTTTGTATGCAGGCTTTTATCATATTGGGCCTTGTAGTCTCTGGTAAGTTACAGCAGCTCAGCAAGCACACACTACCTTTTTTTTTTTTTTTTTTTTTTTTCAGCCACCTTCTCTTCTTTTCCTTAGTGTAGTAGGAGCATTGGGACTACTATGCTAGACCAAGATGTTTTAAGTTCTTACTATCATAACATGAAGCTTAATATACAAGTGACATGTCAATGTAACGAAGAAGAAAGAAATGAGTGAAACGGGAGAATATGATTTTTGGACTTTGGCGCACTCTTAAGTTGGAATGGCAGTGTAGTTGGATTTACAGGTGTGTTGAATGGTTAAAGGGGGGGGGGGGGGAATTGGGACGGAAAATATATTAAAATTACTCCTGAAATTTGTCATGTTGGCGTGTGTGGTAGTTATTTATTAATTGTAGTTAAACAAAGCATTTTGATATTTCCCGTAAAGATTATGGAGCAAGTGAAATTGCTACTACTGAAAAGGGCTAATAAGCAAAACTTGGTTAAACATTGTACTACAATTGAAGTTTCTGTACATATATTGAAGTTTGAAATGTTCAGTTTGTCATCCTTTTTCTTTTTCTTTGGATTTTTTGCAGTGATTTTAATGATTTGTGTTACAAGAGTTGCCAAGGCCGCTTTGGAAAAAGCTTTGGCCGAAAATGAGGATATTGATAACATTGATATTATACCAGAGTTACCTGTTGTCTCCGAAACACCAGTGGATCTCGACCAGCCTCTTTTAATCAAGATAGACGCGTCTGACGACCATCATGAGAAATGAAATCCACGCTCTTTGTAAATTCTTCTTCCCACCTCCTCCTTTCAAAGTGTATGCTCTATTAATACTGCAGCATCTGATAGTTATCATTTTGTTCTCTGTACAGCCTCCCATCCTTTAGATTTTGTATTTTGAACAAATATGGCTTAACTTGACTATTACGATTGAACGAATATGTCTTTTTTTTCAACTTGAAATGAAAGATTAAAGAAATCATTGAGATCATTTTTGTGAGACTCGTTTGTTTGAAACGATTAATCTGTTTGCTCCCTACACGTTAAGTGCTTATTCAGAAGGTTATATCTTTATCGGAAGATTTGTTGTGCCCTATGTCGTCCTCTTGGAAAGTTGGTCGAAGTACGAGTCGCTTCTACCATTAGTTTATTATAATGTTCCTTCTGCGCCGAACATTGACGATCGGATTTGCTGTGGTGCCAGGGTAATGTATCTGTTGGATATGATATTGTGAGCTACAATATGTCATGGTGGGTGGGTAATAGTCTGAAATTTGAAGATTTGGTTTGGTAAGAAATGAAGAAATTGATCCACCTGCAACGTATTTTAGGCTTCTGTTCAACCATCAGAAACACCACCATCCATCCACCCGAAAAAGTCACGAGAAGATACTATATATCACCGACATCCTATAGCACTTATGGAAGTGAATCACTTGACGAATGCTATAGGGGAATGGCGATATATATCCTCGGTTACGCTCAAGTTTCTGTCAAGAGTAGGGATGGGTAAATGATTATTCGTTTAAACACCATTATAGGTACATTCATCATACGTTTCCGTATTTTAATTTTTGAAGTCCTTATATTATTTCAATAATTGAAATAATAGTTTACAGATAATATTTTTAAGGGGTGTGCTATTCACACACCCCTTTTTATTTCTCCCACATCCCTTGTTAATTTCTGTCATTTGATCTTCTTTAATTCATCTGATCCGACAACCGAAAATTAAAAGGGTTTGAGAGAAGTAAAAAAAGGTGTGTGGATATCACATCCCTATTTTTAACTGTTAGCAATGAAGGTAATATAAATTTGCTAAGTATTCTTGGGTTACGAAAACTGTTAAAAGACAGTATTCTTTAACTTAGAATGTAAAATATTAACATAATATATATAATGAACCATGAAATTTAAAGTGGTTAAGAAAAACTATATTATATTAGCTATAGAAATCATGCATTATAGTCAATAACATTGATCTAAGTTTTGTCTAATAGGGAACATGGTTTTTGTTAATTTTACATATATAAAATAAATGGGTAAATGGTTACCCCGTTTATAACCGCGGTTAATACCCATAACCGCTCATTTAAATTTTACGGGTAAACGGTTATACCCATTACAGTTTATTTATCTAAACGGTTACCCATAACCATAGCCGTGAAATTTAAATGGACGGGTAACTGCGGTTATCTATAACCGATGAGTATTTGCCCAACCCTAATCAGGACTCATGAGTCATGACCTCATGAGTCATGACCCATGAAAGAAGTCCCAACTGCTTGTGGTCCAAATTACAGGGTTTTAATATGCTGAAGATAGACATTGGAGTGAAATTGGGAAGCAAAAGGTGGTTGCTCTGAAACTTGAACAGGAGAATGACCAAATGGGAAGCAACATCATTTACACATGAGACCTCATCATTAAGCTTTGTGTGCAGTGTGGATGCCATTTCTCTCTTTCTGCCTCCCAAACAAAGGAAAAAGCAGTCTTTACTATAGCCTCCCACAGTTTTTGTCTCCACATATTTTGGCCTTTTGGAGACCCTACCAATTCCTTAATGCAAGGGCTAACAATATTCTATCATGTCACATGATTACATATAGCCTCCCACAATTAGGAAACATTATTGCGTGAAACTAGAATACAGTCACGTGGTATAATTAAATTTTAGTTACTTAGCTTATTAAAATTAAATATCGACGACATATTGATCAAATATCAACGAAATAGATTATGTATCGACGACATATTGAAACACTCATTTTCCCATTCATATATCCCATCTTGAGAGTGAATGCCAAAAATTTACATATATATAACATACAGATTGAGTATACCACGTGATTGTATTCTAGTACCACTAAAAATAATCAAAACCATCCATTCACGTAGAGGTGGCAAATCAACCCATTGAGACACCTTTAATTTGATTTCACCTTGCACCATCATCATCACTACGATCTCACCTCTTTATTATGGTGATATCAAATTAAATGGATCTTAACGGGTACTTATTAATAACCTAATGAGTTAATTTGCCACCTCTACTTTCAAGAATGAGACAGTACGTCATGAATTCACTATATGGGGTGACTGACAGGTTATATATGGATTTAAAGATGCCAAATAAGAGTGGTGTGAATCTTCTGCAACACGAGAAACCAAAAAGATGCACGTTGTCCTTAAATCCAAGGTGACCAAAGTCACCAAACATTTCAAGTCCCTGAAATCAAAGATGCCCAGATTTGGTATCTTCCCAACTGGTGGCTGCTTTGATGGATGCAGGGATCACACACAGCAATCCTCAGGATTTGGAACTAGGGTTTGGAACCTGAGTGACAAGCCTGTGGAACTGCAGATAAGAGTTGGGTCCATACTAAAAAAGGTTCACACTTTGAAACCAGGCTCCTCCAAGAGGCTGAAGTGCAAGAGCATATACAAGGCCTATATGCCCGGCGGAGAGGGTGGCGGCAGCGGCCGTGGCAGCATGAGGGGCTTGCTGTATTACTACGACGAAACTTGCCACCCTTACGTTTGGATTCATGACACTGGTGGTGATACATTGAGGATGGTCAAGCAGCAGTATATCAGTCTTGAGGATCTCAGGGAGTGTTGTGAGATCAGGATTTTCAGGGATCATCAGAGAGGCTGCGTTTCGGTTCGGAAGAAACCGAGGCCGGATTTTTGCTGACGGGCTTTGTTTTTGGTATCTGTTTTTGTAAGTTTGTATGTTATGTGTTTGTAATGCAATTGTAAAAGTATGCTAATTTTAATCTCTTGGGATTTTTTTTTCATCTTCGGGGGTTTAATTTGTTTGTTTTATTGTGTGTGATTGAAGAATTCAGATGTTTTATGGTCAAATTATGAAGAGATGTGTACGTAGCACAAAGATGTATATTACTGAATCAAATTGTTGCAGGTTTTGATTTGGTTTATCTTAATGTGGTGTTTGGTCATTGAGAAAAAACAAATAGGGAGAAGAAGAGAAAACTAAGAAAAATGAAAACTAAAAAACAAAATCGTAAGCAGCTAATTGACGGATGATTTATTGTTTTAATATATAACAATCGTATATATCATCGGTGATGTTACTGAGACAATATATTGATTGTAAGAGAATTTATTTAGTTGATTAGCGTGTTAGTTGTGTGGTGTGTTTTCAGAATTGATTTTGTTGCTGGATTCTTTTTGTCAAAAGGACTCAAAACCAAATATTTTGTATTAAAGTAAAAAAGAAATTGTTGAAGAAGGCAGCTTTAGTTCTTTAAAAAAAAAAAGAAGCAATAGAATATTTCGTTATCAAGAAGACAGTTTTAGTTGTTTAATTATACTTAGGGTGTGTAAATACTAGATCGAATAAATCAAACAGAAACAACGGATATGATTTTTTTTATACAATAATATATTTACACTAAGAGCATGAGGGAATAAGTTCATTGTGAAATCTTTATTATCGAGAATCGAATATAAGATATCTCACTTACAAGCAAAAATAAATTCTATTAAACGGTTGTACTAAATGGCAACAATGGGCATGACTAAATAGGAACGTGTGAGACTAAAAAAGAAGTGTGAGTATCATTTCCCTTGCAGTTGCGGTGATGGTGGTGGTGAAGAGGAGGGTGGAGGAGGCGTTTGGGCCTTTTGAGAGACCAGTGTCGCGAAAAGGCCTACGCCATCAATGGTAGACCGGGCATTGCCTGTAATCTTTGACACGAGGTTAACCTTGAAATGCAAGAAGCTTACAAAACCAGAATACATACAATACACGCATTATTCGTCGCCAAAATGATATTTTAAAAAATTCGGTCATTTTTAAATTATCAAACCAACAGATGTGTGAATAAATTTCATTTTATTTTATTCTTTGAGTATGATTACTTTATAAATTAAAAAAAAAAAATCAGTTATGAAAAATGGGACAATGATGGGGCAGTTTTTTTTAGGGTAGTGTTATCCACATATCTATTTTTAATTCTTACACACTCCTCTTAATATGTACTAGTATTTGCCTAAATACTTTGTGTGTATGAACGCATTTTTTTAGAAAATGAGAAGGAGAGAGGGAGAGGGAGAGAGAGAGAACGTGGGGGGAGTGAGAGGTTTTTGTTTTTTGGTTTTTTTTTTAATTTTTTTTAAGATTGGATGTAATTTAACATCACCTATAGGTGAGGCTTCAATAAATAACAGTAAAATTTGGACATGTGAAATTATATTATTGCCTATCATTTTTTTTGTGTGATAGAAGACTAATTTGTCTTTTCACCCTCTTTTGATTGACAAAAAAAGTTTCATTAATTAGTAGAGATATGTGAATTTTATATGTTAACATTATGTGTAAAATCTATATAAATAAACTTCTATTAAGCGTGAAACGTATATCGTTCATTGAATTTTGTGAAATTTAATGAATCAGTGAGACGTGTTTGAAAAATGAAAATATTTTGTAAAAAAGGCATGTCCGTGTATAATATGTAGACCTAACATTCGTGTCGTGTTTCTCGTGTTTGTGTCGTACCTAATAGCTTAACGGGTTGTGTGTCGTGTAACACCCATTTAAAATAAACGGGTAATATGACCAAACCTGAAATCAACCCGTTAATATTATCAGGTAATATGACCCGACAGGTTACCTGTTAAGAAAAAATATATTTAAATCAATAAATAATGAAAAAGATAAACATAATTTGACCCAAAAAAATGTAAAACATAATACTTAATTAGTATATACATACCACATTGTCACATAAATATTACTTCAAAACATTAAAATATATATATATATATATATATATATATATATATATTTGTCTTCCAAGTTTACATACCCCAAAATAAGAGCCTAATGAAAAAAACATTAGTGCATACTACAAAATACAAATGTTCAAAGATATGCAAATGAAGAGAGTTGTGTTTCAAGGTTGTGAAACCTTGTTGCACATTTTTGACAATAAAAATAAAACCTTTCAATTTTCATTAATCACTAAGGGAAAT